GCCGCCACGGTTGCTCAACGAGGTCGTCGCGGCAGCGCCACGAGGCCGCCACGGCGGCGTGAATGTGATGGGAAGGGAAAGAGTACGCTGCGGAAACGTGATGACAAGGCGCAGCAGGATCTTCCTACACTGAAACCATGTTGAAAACTCAGCCACTAACCACTGAGTTAAAAGGGCTTGTTAATAGCGGGTCAGTGCGCCCATAGCTCCCCAGGCTCTGCACCTGTGGCCCTTCCCCAAGGATCTTCTCAAGGGTAACCCCAGCGAGTCACTCGACACGCGCAAGGCGCCAGCGCGAAATGTGCCAGCGCGCAAGGCGCCAGCGCGCACGGCGCCTGCGCGCAAGGCACCAGCGCGAAACACGCCAGCACCCATAATGTCGCCACTGCGAATCAGTGAGGAGCAAGAGCGAGTTAGGGGCAAGAACGAGTTAGGAGCAAGTGTCGAAATAGGTCACGGGGTTGCTAGAAGGTAGCTAGGTGGGACGCCATAAAAATGGCGAGAGGTTTAACTAGGGGGCGAGAGTTATGAAAGGGAGGAGAAATTGGCGAGAGAAAAGAGGGTTGGACTAGAAGAGAATGAGATACAACGAGGGGGGGTTGTCCCCTCTATAGTAGGATTCAGTACGTAGCACAACTACCAAGGGTACACAAAGATATATTTAAATATATACTTCGACACACCCCCTAGGCTTGGTAGTGACAAGCCCATCCCATCCGCAGCACCCCCACATCCTTGCACCCCCATTCCCTGCACCAGTAGAGGCATCGACCAGTCGGTCGACCCCTCGGCAAGCGAGGTGGCGACGTCGGCAGCGAGGGCACCGGCTGCAACGGCGGCGACGGCGGTAGTGACAACAGCGGCAGCGACGACAGCGGCGGCGGCGTGCGGCGGCGAGGCCAGCAGCACCAGCTGCGGCGGCGGCGGCATCGACGACAGCGGCGACGGCGGCGGAGCTCGCAACACTCGGCGGCGTGGCCCAAACTGCGATGACGAGGGGGAGGAAGGCACGAGGTCGCCAACTGTGGCGGGGAGGAGGGGAAAGGCAGAGGAGGGGAAGGGGGAAGGGGTGGGGGGCGGATCTTCAGCGCGTCGCCATGGCTGGCGCGACGCTTACTGGAGTGCGGGCGGTTTGGACACGGCTAACACGGTGCGCGGCCCCGCTGCCGCTCGTGCGCTGGCGCGTCGACGCCGCCGCGACAGCACGACGAGGCTGCCACGGCAACGCGTCGAGACCGCCGCGGTAGCACAACGCGGCCGGCGGCATGACGACGCCGCCACAGCAGCACGACACGACCGCCATGGCAGCGAGAGAGAGAGAGAGAGAGAGAGAGAGAGAGAGAGAGAGAGAGAGAGAGAGAGAGAGAGAGAGAGAGAGAGAGAGAGAGAGAGAGAGAGAGAGAGAGAGAGAGAGAGAGAGGAGTACGCGGCGGAAGCGAGAGAAAAAGGTCTAGCAGGTTGAACCTGCTCTGATACCATGTCGAAATAGGTCGTGAGGTTGCTAGAAGGTAGCTAGGTCGGACGCCATGAAAATGGCGAGAGGTTTAGCTAGGGGGCGAGAGTTACGAGATGGAGGAGAAGTTGGCGAGAGAAAAGATGGTTGGACTAGAAGAGAAGGAGATACAAGAAGGGGGGGGGTTGTCCCTCTACAGTAGGATTCAGTAATTAGCACAACTACCAAGCCTACACAAAGATATATTTAAATATTTACTTCGACAGCAAGAACTAGGAGCAGGAACTAGTTACGAGGAAGGACTAGGTACGAGGACTGACTAAGTCCAAGGAAGGACTACCGGTATGAGGAAGGATTGAGCAACGAGCAAGAACAAGGGACAAGGATTGAGCAAGAACAAACCTTAGCAGGGGTGTATTCGCTCTGCCCCAGAAAGCTAACGAATTATAGGCCAGCACCGTTACTGACCTGCCAAGGTAGGAGCACTAAGGAATGTAACATAGACTAACCCGGATAAAAAAAAGTACTTCTTCATATAGCACACTGAGCATTTCTACAAATTTAAGTGCTCATATGATTTCTTTATGTTACCACTTTCTAAATATATCCATCTATTAACTGACTTCTCTTCTAGCATTTTCTAGGGTTAAAACCCGCGGCCCAAATGGTTCAAACGCAATGTGTAAGGACTCTGCGCGTGCTGTTTTACGAAACGCACGGGAAAATCGCAAGGGTGTTTTTCCTCGTGAACCGCAAAGTGTTCGTGCACCGTCAGATTCGACCCCAAGATTTTGGACGGTTGAGATTGAGCCCCGAATTACTGGTGGTTCTTTGGAAAGAAGAGTTGCGTGCGGACCTTCAGATGTAGATCTGTGAAAGGGAAAATACATCGGCGCTCAGTATTAGGGGCCTCGATAACATGTACGGTTAGTGACAAGATATAAACAATCAGAATTAGTGAGTCCTCAACATGTTTCATCAGTCGGGTTCCACCGTTAGTCAGAAACTACAGGAAAAGCTCCACGAATGGTTAGTAGAAGTAACCCTCGCCCGTTTCGGAACGTTTTCTCGCCCGCGCCAGCCCAATTTCGTCATCATTGTGGCTGGCGCGATATTTTTCTCAAGCTCCAGGCGCAGTTCGAGAAAACTACGTAAAGTATTCCCAAATTAAAAAGCTTTGGACGTCGCCCAGACAAAATTCCAAAATTGAGACCTCGCGCATTTCTGTCACATAAGCTAATTGGGCCGCAGCAGGCCTCACATCGGGTGCGACATTGTTCAAACATTAACAAACGCAAAAAAAAAAAGATACGAAAGGGAAAATCTATCCGCGATCAGCGCTAAACCAATGAGGCGTGAAAATTAAACTGTAGTGCGCGTGCTCTAATTTGTTTCGAGCATGACAAGACCTGTAGACTCGTAATCCGTCGGAAATTTTTCTGGTAAATACATTTGTTGAAAAAAAATCAAAAGGCAACCGACCGACTTCAAATAGATTCGTTGTATTGAAATTAATACAGAATTAAATGCGGTTCTGAGAGAACTTTGAAGTGTTTTTAACATATTCATTTCCCCAAAATAAACCTCCGTAGCTATTTATATATGCTTTTGTTTTCGGGCGACTCGGGAATGACAACAAGTTTATGGCTTGACTTTTTTTGGGGGCCGTAAATGCGGTAGAGACAAAGCCGCCATTTTTTATCATCGCAAGACGCGCTCCACTCTGTAATAAACGTATGTCCTTCGAAACAAAATCGTGTTTTCGTGTTTCTGGACAAAAAAATGTCCAACGAATTTTAATTTGGACATATTGTGTTTTTTCGCTCGACCTACGCTTGGACCTCGGGAAAAATATTGTGCCAGCCACAATGGTGACGAAATCGGGCTGGCGCGGGCGGGAAAACGTTCCGAAACGGGTGAGGGTTACTTCTACTGACCATTCGTAGAACTTTTTTCCTGTAGTTTCTGACTAACGGTGGAACCCGACTGATGAAACATGTTGCGAACTCACTACTTCTGATTGTTTGTATCGTGTCACTAACCGTACATGTTATCGAGGCCCGTAATACTGAGCGCCGATGTATTTTCCCTCTGTGAAACATGGACACTCGAAAAATGTGCTACACATGGAGTTCCAAATTGCAGCACGCAGTGAACTTGAAAGGCACCCCAGAGTGACGAGACTCACGTTACCCTACTCTACACCCGCAAAAGCGCTAGTTTCAAACGCAGTGCGTTTGATGGCAGCGCCTTGCAATGGGAAAGTACATTGGCGCTCAGTATTAGGGGCCTCGATAATATGTACGGTTAGTGACGCAATATAAACAATCAGAATTAGCGAGTTCGCAACATGTTTCATCAATCGGGTTCCACGGTTAGTCAGAAACTGTAGGAAAAAAATTCTACGAATGGTTAGTAGTAGAACCCCCCCGCCCGTCTAGGAACGTTTTCCCGCTCGCGCCAGCCCAATTTCGTCATCATTGTGGCAGGCGCGAAATTTCTCCCCAGCTCCAGGCGCAGTTCGAGCGAAAAACGTAATATACCCAAATTTAATTGTATTGGATACAAGTTATTCGAGAAACAGAAAAATACGATTTTGTTTCAAAACACATACTTTCGTGCTAGAGTGTAGTGCGTTTCGAGAAGCTTAAGAATGGCGGTTTTGTCTCTACCGCATTTACGCCCCCTAAAAAAAGTCAAGCCTGAAACTTATCGTCATTCCCGAATTGCTTGAAAGAAAAACATATAAAGAATTCCATGGAAATTTATTTTGGGAAATGAATATGTTTAAAGGTGCAGCAAAGTACACTCATAGCCACACAAAATTTTGTATTTACTTAAGTACAACAAATCTTTTAGATTTCTGCCGGCTGTGGTTATAAAATTTCTCACAAATGAATTTACTGCAAAAACATTCCCGCTAATTCACGACTCTACAAGTCACGTCATGCTCGAAAAAATTATCGCATTCGCGGCACAGTAGAATATTGATGCCTCACTGGCTTAGCGTGGATCCCGGATAGATTTGCCATTGTGTGTCAAATATTTTTTTGTTGTGTGCGCGTTTGTTAATGTTTGAACAATGTCGCACCCGATGCGCGGCCCACTGTGGCCCGATTAGCTTATATGACAGAAATGTGCAAGGTCTCAATTTTGGAATTTTGTGTGCGCGACGTTCAAAGAATGTTTATTTTGGGAATATTTTTCGTAGTTCTCTCGAACTGCGCCTGGAGCTGGGGAGAAATTTCGCGCCGGCCACAATGATGACGAAATTGGGCTGGCGCGAGCGGGAAAACGTTCCTAGACGGGCGGGGGTTACTTCAACTGACCATTCGTGGAACTTTTTTTCTACAGTTTCTGACTAACCGTGGAACCCGACTGATGAAACATGTTGCGAACTCGCTAATTCTGATTGTTTAAATTGCGCAACTGACCGTACAAATTATCGAGGCCCCTAATACTGAGTGCCGATGTACTTTCCCCCTTGCTATTTGGGCCGCTGGTTTTAACTCACACTCATTTTCAATATCTGTGTAAAAATGCGGATACATACGCAACCCATCCGATGATTTACATCGAGCCTTGTTATCTAATACTAGTCCCACTGGCTTGAGGTACTATGGCGGCCAGCACGGGAGCCGACGAGTGGCTCTCATCGCAGCTGGCCAGCGACGGTCGGCGGGAGGCGGAGGTCCTGGCCCGCGCGTGGTTCCAGCTCCGCCTGTCCATTCGCGCCCCCAATCGCTTTCCCCCGTGGGACGCGCTGCTGATCACCGCTGCGAGCGACGCGCAGGCTGACCTGTACTCCAGGTAGGTCAAGATTCTAGGCGCCTAAGAAATCGTCTCAAGCTGACCTGTACTCCAGGTGAACGACTGTTCCGAATAGTCAACGCCCTCGATTGTTTGAAGGCCCTCGGTTATTCGACTCTCGAAGGGCGCGTTCAATTGTTACTTTTTTAACTGAAGTAACATTTCTCTAACCCCCTCCCTCCCCTCCACTGAATCGATGCCACACGTCCCGCCAATGTAGGGCTTTCGAGGTGTCCTCTCTCATTTGCGAGAAGCCGCCTCTTCCTCGCACTCGTGCACGAGTGCTCAACTTGCTGCCAGGTCAACCTGCTGCCAGGTCAACCTGCTGCCAGGTGTCCGCTCTTATTTGCGTGAAGCCGTCTCTTAAGTCAACCCTCGTCCATGCAGCTGCCAGCAGCGCTACACATTGGGCACGTTGCGCAGGAGACAAACCGTGCTGGCAGTGCCGGACAGAGAGGGCAAGCGGGTTGGGCAGAACAGCTGTCGTCACCACCGCCACCTCTCCCTTCCACCAGTTAACGTTGTAATTCCTCACACGTCTTTTCACCAACCCTTCTCCTTCCAGGCAGCTGGCAGCAGCGCGCCACAATGGGCACATTGCGCAGGAGACCATCGTGCTGGCAGTGCCGGACAGGGAGGGCAAGCGCATCGGGTCCGGAGGAGCGACCCTGGGAGCTATCCGGGCACTGTGTGACCACCTGGGGGAGGTGAGTCCTAAGTGGGTCTTCCTGGGACCTGGGTGCCTTTGAGTCGCCTATAAGGCACTATGGGCACATTGCAGAGCCGACCATTGCACAGCCGACCATTGCAGAGCCGACCATTGCAGAGCCGACCATTGCACAGCCGACCACCATACAGCCGACCATTGCACAGCCGACCACCACACAGCCGACCATTGCAGAGCCGACCATTGCACAGCCGACCATTGCACAGCCAACCATTGCACAGCCAACCACCACACAGCCGACCATTGCAGAGCCGACCACCATACAGCCGAGCATTGCAGAGCCGACCACCATACAGCCGAGCATTGCAGAGCCGACCACCAAACAGCCGAGCATTGCAGAGCCGACCACCATACAGCCGAGCATTGCAGAGCCGACCACCATACAGCCGACCATTGCAGAGCCGACCACCATACAGCCGAGCATTGCACAGGATTCCATCGTGCTGGCAGTGCTGCCAGACGGGAAGGGCAAGCCCACTCATCGGGTCGAAAGGAGCGACTTTGGGAGCTATCCGAGCAGCACTGAGGGACCACCTGGTGGAGGTGAGACCTGCAGTGACATGTCACGGCAGGAGCTATTTGCGCCCTGCGGGAGTGTCTGGGGGAGGTGAGACTTGCAGTGACATGTCACATGGGGTGGGGTTTACCTCAAGCCCCCCTACCCCGTACTCTCGCCCTTTACTCCCTACTCCAAAATTCCAAATGCCCCGCTCTCTAATATGGCAGTCTGCCACCATCCGCCTCACCTCAATGCCGCTGCTGCTGGTACATGCTGCAGGGGGCGACAGAGATGACTTTCGAGCCGACTCAAATGCCCTGCTCTCTAAGATGGCAGTCTGTCAGCCTGCCACCATCCGCCTCGCCTCAATGCTGCTGCTGCTGGTGCATGCTGCAGGGGCCGACAGCAAGCGCGCAACAAGCGCCTGCTATGGGCCAAACCTTCCCTTCTCCCCGCCTTCTTGTTTCTCCACTTTCCTCTGCCCCGTGCTGCGCTCTGCCACCATCCGCCTCGCCTCAATGCCGCTGCTGCTGGTGCATGCAGGGGGCGACAGCAAGCAAGCGCCTGCCATGGGTTAAATCCCCCCTTCTCCCCCCTTCTCCCCCCTTCTCCCCCCTTCTCCCCCCTTCTCCCCTTCTCCCCACTCCCTGTCTCGCCATTCCTCTCCCTCGTCCTTCAGTCATCATCTGCCCTCCTCGCCTCAATGAAGTTGCCGATTTTTTATGCGCCTCAAAAGGCGCCTAAATAATGTCCTCCTCGCCTCAATGAAGGTGCTGCTGGTGCATGCAAGCGGAGCCATCGTCTGCCATGCCATGGGCGCCGACCAAACTCCTCTTTCCCTCCTGCGGCCTGCCCACTCCTGCCCTCCCCGTCCCTTCTTCCAGTCATCTCCTGCCCGCCTCGCCTCAATGAAGGTGCTGCCGGTGCATGCCGGCGGCGACAGCACGCGTCTGCCACAGGCCAACCTTCCCCTCCTTCCCTCTCCCTCCTTGTTCCATTCCCCCCCCATTGGCCACATCCCAGTCCGCCACCTCCCGCCTCGCCTCAATGAAGGTGCTGCTCGTGCATGCATGCAGCGACAGCAAGTGCCTGTCGTGGCCCAACCTTCCCCTTCCCTTGCCCCTCTTTCCCCTCGCCCTCTTCTCATGCTCCCCTTCCCTCCCTCCTTGCAGTCTGCCCGTCGCCTCAATGAACGTGCTGCTGGTACATGCAGGCAGCGACAGCAAGCGTCTGCCCTCCTCCCCTCTCCCTCCTTGCCCCATTATCCCCATTGGCCTGTTCCGCCAGTCGTCCACAGCCCGCCTCGCCTCAATGAAGGTGCTCCTGGTGCATGCGGGTGGCGACAGCAAGCGTCTTCCCTGGGCCAACCTCCCCCTCCCCCCTCCCTCATTCCCCCCATTGGCCATGTCCCAGTCATCCACAGCCCGCCTCGCCTCAATGAAGGTGCTGCTGGTGCATGCAGGCGGCGACAGCAAGCGCCTGCCGTGGGCCAACCCGTGTGGCAAGCCCTTTGTGCCCTTCCCCCTGCTGGCTGGGGACGACCCTGACGGACCCCCGTTGACTCTCTTTGACCACATTCTGGCTGTGTCTGCGCTGGCACTGCAGGCCCTCCCACCCAATGGTACGTCACAGTCTTAGGCATGACTCTTGTCTTGAGCTGGGAATAAGACTCTGATGGACCCCCGTTGACTCGCTTTGACCTCATTCTGTGATTTTGGAGTCGACTCAAAGTTCCTTCTCTCGCCCTGCTGGCTCTCCCACGCGGTAGTACGTACAGAAAATTCTGAGACTTTTTTTGAGTCGATTCAAAACCTTTGAGACATCTTTTGAGTCGATTCAAAACCTTTGAGACTTCTTTGAGTCGATTCAAAGCCTTTGAGACTTCTTTGAGTCGACTCAAAACCTTTGAGAATTCTTTCGAGCCGACTCAAAACCTTTGAGACTTTGACCACGTACGTGCATGCAGTCCCTTGCTGCCTCTTTGCTCGCCTTGCTGGCTCTGCCACCAAAGGTTAGCCGAATGGAGTCTTCTGAATCGACTCAACACAACGGATTCAAAACAGGTAAATTTCAACCACGGAAGCCTTACAATCCGTGTGGCAAGCCCTTCGTGTTGTGCCCTTTCCCCTGCGGGCTGGGGAAGGGCACTCGCTTGTTCCCCCCAGAGGCCGCTCTCTTCATCATAACCGGGGACGTCCTCCCATGCTTCAATCCGCTTTTGAGGCTCCTCAATCTGTGAGGCGCCTCAAAACATTTTGAGGCTCCTCAAAAATAGATTTCCCCTGCCGCCGGCTGGGGAAGGGCACTCGCTTGTTCTCCCCAGAGGGCGCTCTCTTCATGATGATCGGGGACGTTGCTGCTGTGCTCCAATCCGTTGCATGCCAACACACTCTTTACCCATCCCCATCCATCCCCATCCATCCCCATCCATCCCCTTGCTCCCTTGCTCACCTCAGAGGGCGCTCTCTTCATAATGACCGGGGACGTGCTCCCATGCTTCAACGCATCTCGCATCCACCTGCCGTCCCACGGTGCTCTGGTAGTCACCGCTGCTGTGCCCCTCGATGTCGCCTCCAGGCACGGGGTTATTCTCGCCTCGGACCAGCACCAGCAGCATCAGCAGCAGCAGCAGCAGCACCAGCAGCAGCAGCAGCAGCAGCAGCAGCAGCACCAGAACGGCATCAGATGTGATAAAGACTCCTCCCCACAGCTGGTAGCAGACCTCCTGCAGAAGCCGAGTGTAGCAGACATGGTTGAGAAGGGGGCACTTTGTGGTGTGGGAGGCGCGCTGCTGGACACCGGCATCTACGCTGTCTGCGGCGACACGTGGCGCGATCTCATTGGCCTCGCAACTAGCGGGGATGACCTGCTAGGGGAACTACTGGCATCGGGTGAGGAGGTGAGTGGAGGAGGGGGTGGTGGTGTGGTGGCTGCGGGTGTTGAAAGCTTGTGAGAGGTGGCAGTGGGGTGGTCCCCACCTAAAAGTCACAAGGTTGATTTGCTTGGAAAGGTGCTGGGTGGTGAGGAGGTGAGTGGAGGAGGGGGTGGTGTTGTGAACGCCATGACGAGGTTGGCCTGCTGGGGGAGATGCTGGTTGCTGGTTGCTGTTGAGGAGGTGAGGGGTGGTGAGTGGGGTGAGGGTTAGTGAGTGGGGTGAGGGGTAGTGAGTGGGGTGAGGGGTAGTGAGTGGGGTGAGGGGTAGTGAGTGGGGTGAGGGGTAGTGAGTGGGGTGAGGGGTTGTGAGTGGGGTGAGGGGTTGTGAGTGGGGTGAGGGGTGGTGTGGTGGGTGTAGGGAGGCATGAGGTTACTAGAAGTGGCAAGGATGACTTATTGGGGGAGCTGCTGGCCACTGGCACGCCTCATGATCATGTGGAATCTCCTCATGGGTACTATTACCCATGCCTGCGTGCAACACAGCACGCCTGCTCGCCCACCTCACCTCCCATCTGCTTGTTGTTTGACTTTTGAGTCGACTTTTGAGTCGACTCAAAAGTGTGTGCACCATTCCTTCCACCTGTGTGAGCGTGTACCTGTCATTCCCCATTTGCTCTCATCCACGGTTGAGCCTATACGATGATCTGGCATCGGCATGGGTGCCAGCGTGCCACAAAGTGGCTTTCCTTTCCTCCCAACCAACCCCTCGAATCTCTCTCACCTGATCGCCCACCCCACCTCCCATCGGCTTGTTGTGTGTGTACCATCTACCCTTACACCTTTGCTCTCGTCCCCAGTTAAGCCTATACGGGGAGCTGGCCTCAGCATGGGTACCTTGAGGCACCTCGAAAGCATGGGCATGGGTGTATGTTCATCACATCTGCTTCTTATGTGCCTTGTCATTCACTTGTGTGCGTGCATCCAGTTGAGTCTATACGAGGAGCTCGCATCAGCATGGGTGCCAGCGCGCCATGCCTGGCTCTCCTCCCGTCCCCTGGGATCTTACCTCCTTTCCCATGTGTTTGTTTCATATGCTCTCGCCATGTGCTCTCCCCATGTGCTCTCCCCCTCTGCTCTTCCCATGTGTGTGCATCCAGTTGAGTCTATACGAGGAGCTCGCATCAGCATGGGTGCCAGCCCGCCATGCCTGGCTCTCCTCTCGGCCCCTCGGATCTCACCTGCTCGCCCACCTCAGCTCCCACTCTCTCTTCCACCACTGTGCAGGCAAGTCTGCTTGGCTGGTCGTGTGCATTCTGTTTCCCACTGCACAAGCAAACGTGCTCTTATAACCTAGACATGGGCAAAAAAAATCGCATCGCATCGCATTTAATCGTGTTTTTGCGATGGCGATGTTTTTTTTTTTTTTTTTTTTTTTTTTTTTTTTTTTTTTTTTTTTTTTAATCATCGCGCGATTGAATATAAATCGCATTTTAATCGCGCTCAAAAACGCGATTTAAATGCGATATGCGATTAAAAAAAAATCGCGCGCGATATTGCACTGAGACTCACTCTGAAACCCACTACGAAACCACACTGGTTATTTTATTTGCACTCTAGCTTACGACTGCCCGTGAGTCAATTTCCCCTGCAGCCATTTTTTTTCCTGTTTTTTTAATTATGTTTTAAAACGCGATGCGATTTAAAATCGCATTGCGCGATTTAATTAAATATCGCGTGCGATTTTTTAATACATCGCGGGTAAAATGCGATGTGCGATTTTTTTCTTTCTTTTTTTGAAAAATAAATCGCGCGATGCGATTTAAAATCGCATCGCTTTTTTAAACATCGCACCTGCATGCGATGCGATTTAAATCGCAATCGCGTTTTGATCATGTCTATTATAACCTTGCATCTATCTCACCTGTTCGCCCATCTCAGCTCCCACTCTCTACCACCACTGTGCAGGCAAGTCTGGTTGTCTGCATTCTGCATTTCGCTGTCTGCATTCTCTTCCTTCCCCCCTGCAAACAAATGCTGTTCCAACCTTGCATCTCACCTGCTCGCCCATCTCAGCTGCCACTCTCTCTTCCACCACTGTGCAGGAAAGTTTGCTCGATCTTGTGCTTTTGTTCCTCACTATCTGCATTCCATTTCCCACTGCACACACACCACTGATCTCTCCTTCCTCCACTTCGGCACATCCACCAAGTATCTGCACCACATGCGTCACATCCACATCCTCTTCCCGGCCCCCCTGCGTTGGCCCCACAACAGACGGCCTCTCTTTTCTTCACTTCGGCACTTCATCTGAGTATCTATACCACATTCGCCTCGCCTATTCTGGGCGAATGCCACGCCGCCACCTCTGCGTGGTCCCCGCGCCGACAGAGTGCCACGTGGCAGAATCTGCAGCGCTCATCTCGTCGCACGTGCACCCCTTCGCATGCGTCGGGGAAGGGTCGGTTGTTTCCGACAGCACGCTGGTTCCGGGGACACGGGTTGGAGATAGATGCGTCGTGATTGGCGTAGACACCGCCGCTGCTGAGTCAGCATTTGCCAAGTCAGCGGAATGCTCAGGCTCAGCAGCTGCTGAGTCAGCCGCCAGTGGAGCACCCTATAACGCCGCAGCCACCACTACCATCCCACTATCTCATAGACCTCCCACCATCCCATCTACCCCTTTCAGGTCTAGCCCCATCAGTCCTCCTCCTCCCCCTCCTCCTCCTCCTCCTCTGGTGCTCCCTAGTCACATGTGCCTATGGCAGGTGCCGCTAAAAGGGGGGCGGGAGGTGACCCTATGCTGTGGTGTGGACGACAACCCGAAGTTGTCCCTTTCTGGGGGAGGATCCTTCTGTGGCCGGCCCTGGAAACTGTGGTTGAGGGATAGAGGGCTCCTTGAGACTGATGTATGGCCGGGTGAGTAATTTCTGTGAGAATTATTTTCTCAGAGCCTCCAATATCTCTCACAGATGCTGACAAGTCTTGTTACTACTGTTATAGGCACACACACACAGTGAGTAATTTCTGTGAGATGCTTTCCCTCACTGCCTCCTCAATTCCTCCTCTCCACTCCAATCGCCCCTCTTGTCTCATCCTTCAACACCCTTCCCTGCATTCAATCCCTCCCCCCCTCCTCCCCCCCCTCCCCCCCCCCGGCATCAAACCCACCTGCGCTATTACGCCCAGTGAAAGATCCTAGTTTTGGAGAGCAAAGAATAATTGAGTAGGGAGCCATGAATGAGGCTCTATAATACAAAGACGGAGCAAAGGGAGAGTAGGAAGGGAAGGCTCTCCGATTGGGCAGAAAGTTGGCCAATGGGAGAGGTTGCTTGGAGGGCAACCAACCCCAAAGTGTGGTGGTTGCTGATTGGTTGGGCTGTGGGACCATTTGGCTGGAAGGTGCCAACAAAAAGACCAAGCCCAAATCCAATCTTCACCAACCAAGTGTGGTTGGTGAACCCAACCAACAACCCCCCAATGAGTGCAATAACTACACCTTCGATTGTAGACTATGTATGCTGTTTTTGTAAATGTTTTCGACACCCAGCACCTTATTTCTAACCACGCGCTCAAGAGGGGAAAAACAAAATCATTTGCCTCTTCTCGGTCTCTTTTCTCTCTTTGCCCGTCTCCAGATACAGACAACCAAGGCCGCCCAATCCACCTGAAGCAGGATCTCTGGAACGCCCTCCTCTTCCCCATCCTCCCCCGGGGCTCCGGCCTTCCCCTCGCCATGTGGCTTCTCGGAACCTTCCCTCCCACTCTTGATCAAGCTTCCGATCAAGCTCCCAGCCAAGCTCTTAGCCAACAACAGGCCGCCACGTGGCGCAGATCCGACCGCACGTCGCTCGCTCTCCTCCACTCCCAGATCGACTTCCCCGCTCTGCTCTCCTCTGCTCTGCACCGTCGCTCCCTGCTGCTCTCTGCTTTCGCCCGCGCTGCTATAGACGGCGGCTCTTCACCTGGTGATGCTGGTGCTAGAGCGGGTGCGGGTGCGACTATACACGGCGGTTCTTCTCCTGGTGATGCTGGTGCCAGTGCTGCTATAGAGGGCGGCTGTTCACCTGCTGATGCTGCTGCTGCTGCTGGAGGGTCTCTGGGGCGCAACTTCGCCTCTCTCACACGCCAGCTGCTACTTGCTGACGTGGTCGACTCACATCACAGCAGCACCTGCCACGTGGCAGAACCACACAACGGCTGCCACGTGGCAAGCAGCAGTTTTACAGGCGATGGGACTAGAGCAAAGAGCAACGGCAGCACGGTCATTGAGGGGAAGAGCGGAGCCAGGGAGCTCTGTAGGGAACTTTCCATGTCCTTTCCACCCGTGGTGGGGAGAGAGGGCGTGGGGCCATCTCAGAACAGGAGGGCGGGAGTGAGTGGGGACAAGGGGGGGGGAGTGCAGCAGCAGCAGCAGCAGTGGTTCGCAGGTGTGCCAAGGAGCCGTGTGCTTCAAGCGAAGTTAGACCTGGTCAGAGCAGGGCGAGAGGGCCAAGGGGAAGGAACAGGGAAGTGCAAGGAGGGAGGGGGAGAAGGGGAGGGAGAAGGGAAGGGAGAAGGGAAGGGAGAAGCAGAGGGAGAAGGGAAGGGAGAAGGAGAGGGAGGTGAAGAGGAGGATTTGGAGGAGGGAGTGTGGAGGGCGGTCGCAGAAGAGGCAGCGGTAGCAGTGGGAGTGGAGGAGAGTGGAAATGCTGTTGCCAGCTGCGTGCAACCGAAAGGTATGTTGGAAGGGTGGCGGGTGAGGTGAAGAGGAGGAGTTGGAGGAGGGAGTGTGGAGGGCGGTCGCCGAGGAGGCAGCGGTAGACGTGGGAGTTGAGGAGAGGGGTGATGATGGTGGACGTGTCAACATGCGACAAACGAGTGGGTCGGGTTGGCGCAGCATGCACTGTTTAGCATGGCCATAATCTACCGGGTGGGTGGGTTGGTGGTATACTGAATGGCCTGAGAGAGCGTATACCACTGCATGGCACACGCATCTATTCGTAAAAGCACATGTGCTTCATTGCACACTCTCACGGCCCCACCCCACTGGGGCAACTGCTCGCCTCCAGGGAGGTTGGTACGGCCCCTCTGAAGCAACTGGCCCATTCTTCTTTCTTCCGGCCAACTGCCCGCTCCCCTCTCCCCCTCCCCCGTCAGTCTTCTTTTTTAGGGCAGTTGGGCAGCCGGCTCTACCGGCCAACTGCCCTCCCCCTCAATTTCTGCCCCCTCTTTCCCCCAACTTTTTCCCCCATTGTGATTCTTCCCCCATCAGCCCTGGCTCTCGGCGCGAGTGTAACACCCCTCCTCCTTAGTGCTGCCAGTGCGGCTGGACATAGCAGGGGGTGGAGCAACACCCCTGCTTAGTGCTGCTGCTTCTCACCGCGCTCTCCCCCTTCTCGTCCATCCCCTCTCTCCCTTGCCATTCCTTTCCCCCTTGCCCCCAGCGCCCCTGTCTCTTGGCGCCAGTGTCACGGTAACGCTTCCAGTGCGCCTGGACATAGCAGGGGGGTGGAGCGACACCCCTCCGTGGAGTCTGGAGCGGTGCGGAACGGTGCTGAACATGGCGGTTGTGCTGGAAGGGAAGCGACCCGTGGGGGCTACTGTCACTGTGGTGAATGAGCCCGGTGAGTGAGAGGAGAGGATACAGGAGGAGCTTTGGGGGCCATGGGGGCCATGGGGGCCATGGGGGACATGGGGGCCATGGGGGCCATGGGGGACATGGGGGCCATGGGGGCCATGGGGGCCATGGGGGCCATGGGGGCCATGGGGGACATGCGGGCCATGGGGGCCATGGGGGCCATGGGGGCTACTGTCACTGTGGTGATGAGCCCGGTGAGTGATGAGTGAAGGGGAAGGACACAGCTGAAGTGCTTGGTAGTACATGGGTGGAGCAACAGCCCCCCCCCTGGAGTCTAGAGCGGTGCAGAACGGTGCAGAAAGTGGCAGTGCTGTTGGAGGGAGAGGCCTGTAGGTGCTACTGTGGCTGTGGTGGAATGAGCCTGGTGCGCAACAGCAATGGCTGTCTTTTGAGTCGACTCAAAAGTCTGTGGCTGGGGTGACTGAGCCTGGTGAGTGGAAGGAAGGGAATCAACAGATGGCCTTGGGGCATCAGTGCAGTGCTGTTGGAGGGGAAGCGGCCTGTAGGTGCCCCGTGCTCCCCTCTTCCAATCCCTGCTGCTTTCTCCGTCCCCTCTCCTATTCTACCCATCCCTGGCCCCTCTCTCTCTCCCATGATCCCATCCCCTGCTCTTGCCTTGCAGGTGTGCGCATGGACGATGACCATGGTGCCCCTCTCCACATCCCCGACCCCTCCACCAACACCCCCCACCATGCCCAATCCCGTGCTCCCTTCTTCCCTTCCTTGCTGCTGTCTCCATCTTATATCTCTGTGCCACCCTGTCACCCTTCCACCCTTCCACCCTGTCACCCTTCCACCCTGTCACCCTTCCACCCTGTCACCCTTCCACCCAGTCACCCTGCCACCCTGTCACCCTTCCACCCTGTCACCCTTCCACCCTGTCACCCTTCCACCCTGTCACCCTTCCACCCTGTCACCCTGCCACCCTGTCACCCTGCCACCCTGTCACCCTGCCACCCTGTCACCCGTCCACCCTGTCACCCTTCCACCCTGTCACCCTTCCACCCTGTCACCCTTCCACCCTGTCACCCTTCCACCCTGTCACCCTGCCACCCTGTCACCCTTCCACCCTGTCACCCTTCCAACCTGCTGTGCCTTGCAGGTGTGCGTATGGATGATGACCAAGACGCCTCTCTCCACCTCCCCGACCCCGCCACCAACACCATTTTCTCATTCCCAGTCTCTCAAGCCCAATCCCTCGCTCCCACTCCCCTGCTCCCCTCCTCTTGCCTTGCAGGTGTGCGCATAGACGATGACCACGGTGCCTCTCTCCACATTACCGACCCGGCCACCATCCCCCCCCACCTCTCGCCACAAGAGCCCTTCGTTATAGTCAAGGCGGCTCTCCTCATCACTGGCATCCCCGTCCTCCTCTCCTCCTCCTCCCCCCCACTCCCCTCCTCTTCCCCCCTCCTCCTCTCCTCCTCTCCTGCTCTTCCCTCCTCTTCCTCTCCCTCCACCGACTCTTCTTCTCCTTCCCACCCCTCCTCCTCCTGTTTCGGCCTGCACATTCGCACGTGGGCAGATGTGCCCAGGGGCAGTGGCCTGGGCACCAGCAGCATTGTAGCCGCTGCTCTGGTCAAAGCCCTGCTGCTGCTGATGCGAGGGGGAGGGGGAGGGGGGAGGACTGTAGGGGAAAGGTCCCCTGGTACAACTGATGAGGCACCTGAGGCAGCAGCGGAATCATCTGAAGCAGCAGCAGCAGAAGCACCTGAAAATTCACCTGGAGCAACAAAGTGGGCACCTGAGGTGACGGACGAGGAAGTGAGCCGATTGGTGCTTCTACTGGAGCAGCGGATGGGCACGGGGGGCGGGTGGCAGGACCAGGTGGGGGGGCTGTACCCAGGCGTCAAGTGCACCACCAGCCTGCCCACTTGCCCCATTCGTCTCGTAGTGGATCCCCTGCTGCTGCTGCCGGCACTGTGCTCTGCTCTGCAGCAACGGCTGGTGGTCGTCTTTGTGGGGCAGGTGAGGCCTTGTGAGTCCTTTGTGGGGCAGGTGGGTCCTTTTGGCTGCTTTTGATTCGACTCAAAAGCAGTATGTATGACGTCAGTCAGTCAGTCAGTCAGTCAGTCAGTCAGTCAGTCAGTCAGTCAGTCAGTCAGTCAGTCAGTCAGTCAGTCAGCCAGTCATTTGGGCCGCTCCTGCCATGCGTTCGTGCCTGCTGCTCCCAATGAGGTGCTCTCAACCCTACCCCTCTCCTGTTGCTCTGTCCGTTGTATCCCTCAGTGTCAACTCCTAGGTTTCTCGCGCTCGTAACAACTAAAAGAACATGGTAACCCATTAACTGCGGCCGGACCCCCATTTTTTTAGCTGCATAAAATCTGCATTGCCTTCCCTTTTTTACAATCCTTTATCCACTCCCAGGTCCGTCCAGCCCATAACGTTCTGAAGAATGTGGTAACCGGTTACTTGCAGGGGGCCTAAGTCCCATTTTAACCGCATCAAATATGCATTGCCTTTCCTTTATTTAAATCTGTTATCCACTCCCAGGTCCGTCTCGCCCGTAACGTTCTGAAGAATGTGGTAACACGGTACCTGCAGCGGGACTCCCGCCTCATCTCCACCATCCAACGGCTCACAGACCTCGCAGAGATCGGCCGGCGCGCAATCTCAACCGCCGATCTAGACCTGCTAGGGCGCGTTCTCTCCCACACCTGGGACCTTCACCAGGAGCTCGACCCGCACTGTAGCAATCCACATGTCGACGCGCTATTGGCCGCTGTGCACCATCTTAGTTGTGGGGCGAAGCTAGCAGGGGCGGGAGGGGGGGGCTTTGCCATGATCATGGGGAGAAGCGGGGAGGCAGCAGATGAGATTAAGGGGATTCTGAGAGGCATGGGTGAGCCTGTAAGGGTGTATGACTGGGCTGTAGCTGTGTGAAGGGATATGAAGGCACACCACCTCACACTCACTGGGGGGGGGGAGGCAGCAGGTGAAATCAGGGGGGTTCTGAGAGGCATGGGCGAGCTTCTAAGGGCGTATGTCTGGGCTGTTGCTGTTTGAAGGTGTTTGAAGGTGCGTAAAGGCACCTCACCTCGCACTCACAGGTGCCACTTTGCAATAATTATGAAAGGAAGGGGGGAATGTCAAACATATTTGTATTTGTATATGTTATAATAGGCTAGAGAGGTGCATGCTCTTAGAGGGTACAACCACTTGAACAAAATCATCCTGTACGCATCATTCTAGTCAACTTTTTACTCTTAGATGGCACTGGTGCTGGACAGGGTTCTCGCTCTAGGGGTGCTTGCTCTGGGGGTGCTGGAGTGGAGTGTTCCGGCGGTAGCCGTGGTGCAGCTGGAAGTCCAGGTGTCGGCGTCCAGCAGCAACAGCAGCAGTCGCCGCCGGTGTCTGCCCTTCCCCTGCTCGGCCTTCCCTCCCTTGACCGCTCACTTGCGCCTCCCCCACCGCCTCCTCCCCTTCCTGACCACGGCCCTGTGTTTCCTCGGCCGGACTCGTCCTTGGCCCGTTTCCTGCCTCGTTCCCCACTTGTGTCTCCTCCTCTGTCTCCTGACCCGACGCCTCCGTCTCACGTCTGGTCTCGCCATCCCTCTCGTGCTCGTCCTGTCTCTCATGTTCAGCGTTCTCACCCTATGTTGCTTCGTTCCCACGCGTTTCGTCCACCCCTCCTCCCGTCTCCTCCGTCGTCGCTCGCTGTCGCGCCTCCCCCTCGTTCTGACTACCTTCATGCTGGTTGTCCTCTTGTTCCTCGGGTCCTTGCCTCCCTCGTTACCGACCCGTCTGTTCCTGTCTCGAGTCTTGACACTCTTGTCACTGCCGTTACCGACTTCGCCTCTCCCCTCCGCCTTGACTACACCACCGCTCTGGTTCTGACCCTGTCTATCCTCCGTCCGTCGGGGGTGCGTCTGCCCTTGGCAGTGACGTCCTAGAGGACAGACAGTACGAGCTTGCTTTATTGTCTGAGGCTCCTCCCCATCTCCGTTCCATGTTGTTAGTCCCTGAGGGTGACCCTGACCCCTTTGACATCCCGACCCCTCGCACTTACGCTGAGGCAACCTCGGGACCCTGGGCCTCTTAGTGGAAAGCTGCAATGGAGCAGGAGATGGCATCATGTAGATCCACCGGCACCTACATCGATGCAGTTCCCCCACATGGGGTGAACGTAGTCGATGGTCAGTGGCTCTTCAAGCTGAAGCACCCTCCTGGAGAGCCACCGGTGTTCAAGGCGCGCTACGTGGCTAGAGGCTTCAACCAGCGCGAGGGGGTGGACTTCTTTCAGACCTTTGCCCCAACCTCGAAGATGAATACTCTTCAGGCGCTGCTACACGTAGCAGTACAACGTGACTATGAGCTCCACTCTCTCGACTTCTCCACTGCTTTTCTTCAGGGCAGCCTACACGAGAAGGTCTACCTGCGCCGTCCACAGGGCTTCATTGTTACCTTCCCTCCTGGGACCTAGTGTCCCCTCCGGCGCCCGGTCTACGGCCTGCGACAGGTGCCCCGTGAGTGGCACGACACGCTGCGTACTACGCTAGCTGACTTGCAGTTCTTTCCGTCCTCTGCAGACCCCTCGCTCTTCGTTCGTGCGTACAAGACTCCATTCTACATCCTTGTCTACGTAGACGACCTGGTCTTTGCTTCTGCAAACAGAGACCCACTGGCCTCCGTGAAGGCCGAGCTGCTGAGGAGACACACCTGCACTCACCTAGGAGAGCTGCGCCACTACCTTGGCCTGCAGATCTCCAAAGAGAGAGCAGCGCGCACCATCACCCTCACACAGTCACACTTGGTGCGCCAGGTCCTTCAGAGGTTCGGCCTTCAGTTCTCCTCACCACAGCTCACACCACTGCCAGTAGACCAAAGGCCCTCAGCTCCTGTTCTTGAGGAGTCAGTAGAGCCCAGTGGTCCTTACGCAGAGCTGGTGGGTTGTCTCATGTACCTGATGACTTGCACTCGTCCACATCTCGCATACCCTTTCAGCACCCTGGCTCGGTTCGTGGCGACAGGCAGATACCGACCACAGCACTGGTCGACCGCTAAAAGGGTTTTGCATTATCTAGCAAGTATTTCGGGCATGGGTCTAGTACTGGGAGGACGCAGGCCCTTACTGGGCACACTAACGCTTCTTGGGCAGACGACGCTGAGACCCTCAGGTCCTCTCAGGGCTACTGCTTTAGCCTTGGTGTAGGTGCGGTCTCATGGAGGTCCACCCGCTCATCGTCTGTTGAACAGTCTAGCTGCGAGACCGAGATCTAAGCTGGTGCCATGGTGGCATAGGAGCTCCGCTGGTTGACTTTCTTGCTCACAGACTTAGGTGAGCGGCCTAGCTCTGCCCCGATCCTGTACGCTGAGAACAGAGCCATGATCCTCTTGTGTCAGGAGCCTCGTCAGGAGGGCAGAGCGAAGCACATCCAGCTGCGGTACTTTATCCTGCGCGAGCTATAGCAGCGTCGCCAGGCCCGTGTAGTACACTTGGCCTCCGGTGCTAACACAGCTGATATGTTTACTAAAGCGCTTGCGCCAAAAGATCATCAGCGGCACTGTTTGCAGCTTGGTCTAGTTCCTGTAGCTACTCACTTGCTAGGACCTTGATTGTGTACTTTTTATATATACCTTTTTTACTGGCCTTGTGGCTCTTCTTCCAGTGGTCGGACTAGTAGTGTTGTCCTGGTTTGCTCTTATCTTTTTTGTACTCTTACTGACTGGTCTTCGGACCCTCGCCTCAGAGGCTGGACTAGTAGTGCCACCATACGCTGTGCATCGAGTTCTAGGCACTGCCCCTCATCTAGCCTTGGGGGTATGTCAAACATATTTGCATATGTTATAATTACCAAAGTTAACGAATGAATAGAACCATGACATACACGGGAATATAACCTAGTGGGTTGTAATCTCTAAGGCACAACCCCTGTATAGTCTATAACAATATACAAGGATATGTTTGACACACCCCCTAGACTGGATAGGGGCAGTGCCTGGTGAGAGACAAGCAGCTCATGGTGGCACTACTAGTCCAGGCTCTGAGGCAAGGGTCTATAAGACCAGTCAAACGAGTACAGACAAGGAAAGAGAACGACCAAGGTGGCACTACTAGTCCAGCCACTGGGAAGAGGCCACAAGGCCAGTCAGGGCAATATATATAAAGGTTTGTACACAATCGAGGTCCTAGCAAATGAGAGGCTACAGGAACGAGACCTAGCTGTACACAGTGCTGCTGATGATCTTTAGGTTCAAGCGCCTTCGTAAAGATATCAGCTGTGTTGGCACCGGAGGCCAAGTGTACTACGCAGGCCTGGCGACGCTACTCTAGCTCGCGTAGGAGGAAGTACTGCAGCTGGATGTGCTTCGCTCTGCCCTCGAGTCTAGGCTCCTGACACAGGAGGATCATGGCCCTGTTGTCAGCGTACAGAACCGGGGCATAGCTTGGCCGCTCACCTAAGTCGGTGAGTAAGAAAGTCAGCCAGCGGAGCTCCTGTGCCGCCATGGCACCAGCGTAGATCTCAGCCTCACAGCTAGGTTGGGCAACAGACGAGGAGCGAGTGGACCTCAACGAGATGGCACCTGAACCAAGGCTAAAGTAGTAGCCCTGGGAGGACCTGAGAGTCTCGGTGTCGTCGGCCCAAGAAGCGTCTATGTTCCCGGTAAGGACCACTGGTCTGCTTCCTCCTGCCGACCAGTGCTATGGTCGGTGTCTGTGAGTGGCCACAAAGTGAGCCAGGATGTTGAGAGGGTATGCGAGATCTGGACGAGTGCAGGTTATCAGGTACATGAGGCAACCCACCAGCTCTGAGTAGGGACCACTAGGCTCTACAGCCTCCTCTGGGACTGGTGCAGAGAGTTTGTGGTCTACTGGCAGAGGGGTGAGGTGTGCAGAGAGAACTGAAGGCTGAACCTCTGAAGGACCTGTCGCACCAAGTGTGACTGTGAGAGAGTGATGGTGCGCACTCCTCTATCGCTAAAGTTCTGGCAGCCAAGGTAGCTGCGCAACTCTCCTAGGTGAGTGCAGGTGTGTCTCCACAGCAGCTCGGAACAGAGATGGGGAGCGGCCTCTGACAGGAAAGCAAGCTCGTACTGTCTGTCCTCTAGGACATCACTGCCAAGGGCAGCCACACCCCCGACGGACGGAGGGCAGGCAGGGTCAGAGACCAGAGCAGTGGCGTAGTCAAGGCGGCAGGTAGCGGAGAAGTCAGTGACAGCAGCGACAAGAGCCGAGAAACTCGAGACAGGAACGGACGGGTCGATAACAAGAGAGGCAAGGACACGAGGAACAAGGGGACGCGCAATACAAAGAAAGTTAGAGAACGGGGGCGGGGCCACAGCAAGCGACGACGGAGGAGGAGACGGGAGGAGCGGAGGAGCACGAGACGCGTGAGAGCGAAGCAACATAGGGTGAGAATGGGGAACAGGGGAGGTAGGACGAGCACGAGACGGACGAGACCAGACGTGAGATGGAGGATTCGGTTCAGGAGAGTGGGGAGGACACAAAGGAGGAGAAGGGGTAGGGAAACGAGCCAGAGAGGAGTCCGGGGGATGAAAGACTGGGCCGTAGACCAGAGGAGGAGGAGGCGACGGTGACGGAGGAGTCACCGGTAGGCGGTAAGGGGAAGGAAGACCGAGGAGGCGAAGAGCGGACACCGGCAGCAACTGCTGCCCGACTCCAATACTAGAACCTCCAGCGACAGCATAGCTCCCTCCAAGAAGCTCCACACCAGCACCCCTAGAACGCACGAACCCCAGCAGCGGTGACGACGGCGGCTGCGGCCGCGGCGGCGACGGCAGCGGCGGAGGGGGCTGCGGCAGTGACAGCAACGATGGGGACGGAGGAGAACAGACCGGGGCGGGGAGGGGCGGGGGGAGGGACTCCGCGGAGCCACGAGAGTCAGCAGACTCCTCAGCAGTGACACCCGACGGGTGAGGGGTGACGTGAGACACACCAGACGGGGCAGGGAGGGGAGGGGGGGCAGGCGGGGCAACCGGGGGAGGGGGAACCAGGAACAGGGGGGGCTAACCGGGGGACCACGGTAGGGAAAGCGGTGGTAAAAGGAGACGGACTCGTCAAAGGGGACGTCGCGGGAGTGAAAGAAGCTGTGAGATGGCGGGTAGTAAAAGTGCCAGTCAGACGAGTCGAGGGGGAAACCTAGGATTACACAGGGGATGGTGCAGGAAGTGAGCTTGTCCGTGCCAGAGGCACGAACATGTGCAAGGCAACCCCAGATGTTGAACACAAACGCGTCACCAAGGGACCCGGTCTAGAGGAGGGTTGGCAAAACCTGCGGCTGCTGAGGGTGCGGCCACAGGTTTAGCTGGTGAATGGCGTAGTGAGCAGCGAATGGCCACAGAAAATGGGGTGCACCGCCATGGATCATGTAGGTACGAGCCACCTTCATGACCAAACGGATGCGCCGCTCAGCGACCCCATTCTGCCGCGGGAAGTCCGAGAGGGTGTACGTCTGGGTGATGCCCTTGGCACGACAGAAGCGACCGAGGCAGCCAGAGACGAACTCGCCACCACGGTCGGAGTGAAGACGCAACAAAGGGAGACCTCGGTGAACACGTGCAGAGACAAGCCACGGGATAAGAACGTTAGGCACGTCGGCCTTCCGCTCCAGGGGAAACACAGTGGTGTAGCGCATGTAGTCGTCGACAAGCACTAGGAAGTAGCGCTCTCGACGCGGCCCATGGATGGGTGCGGGGCCCCATATGTCGGCGATGGTGGAGGAGGAGACATCGAGGCGGAGACAGGCAGCGAGAACGGCACTGCGGGGCCACCAGAGTCACCCGACTCCTCGGCCAGGACAATCGGCGGGAGGGGAGTGATGTGAGACATACCAGACGGGGCAAGATGGGGAGGGAGAGGAGCAGGGGCTATCGAGGGATTGGGAACCAAAAACAAAGGAGGGGAAACCAGGAGACCTTGGTGGGAAAAGCGGTGGTAGAAGGAGACAGATTGGTCAAAAGTAACATCACGTGAGTGAAAAAAGCGGTGAGGCGGCGGGTGGTAAAAGTGCCAGTCAGACGCGTTGAGGGGGAAGTCAAGGAAGACACAGAGGATATTGTGGGCAGTGAGCTTGTCCGTGCCAGAGGCACGAACGTGAGCAAGGGAGGCCCAGACGTGGAACACAGACGCGTCACCAGGGGACCCGGTCTAAAGAAGGGTCGGCGAAACCTGCGGCTGCTGGGGATGCGGCCACAGGTTAAGCTGGTGAGCGGCGTAGCGAACGGCGAACGGCTACAGAAAATGGGGTGCACCGGCATGGATCTTAGGGATATGAGCCATCTCTATGACGAAACCTGTGCATCACTCAATGACCCCATTCTGCTGTGGGGAGTCAGGCAGGGTGTACGACTGGGTGATGCCCTCCGCACAACAGAACTGGCCAAGCCGACCGGAGGCAAACTTGCCACCATGGTCGGAGTGGAGACACAACACGGGGAGGCCGCGGTGGACTCGCGTTGTGACCACCCACCTGATAAGAACGCCAGGCACGTCGGCCTTATGCTCCAGGGGAAACACCATGCTGTATCGCGTGTAGACGTCGACAAGCACTAGAAAGTAGCGCTCTCGACGCGGCCCGGGGATGGGGGCTGGGCCCCGGACGTCCAGGTGCAGGGTCTGGAGTCGCGCAGTGGCTGGGTGAAGCGAGGAGGAGTGAGGAGCACGGCGCAGCAGGCCCTCAACGCAGGGCGTGCACGGCGGCGCAGGCGAGGGAGGGAGGGCAGGGAGCGACGCAGGGAGACCTAGGACAAGACGGTGCTGTGACATGTAACGCAGGCGGGGGAGGGCAGAGTGACCTAGGCGGTGGTGCCACAGAAGCGACGGGTGAGTGAGCGACTGACACGAGCAAGCCGCAGTGGCTTGGGTAGATGCAAGCACTTGGGGAGGTGCCCTCACCAAGGGGGACGTGGTGTCAAGCTTAAACAGGTCAGACACCGGGTCCCGGCGGAACGTGGTGAGGGGAGCACCTGTGGCGGCTTCGGTACAGTCCGCATACCGCACATGTCCGAGGAACGTAATGGTGACGCCGAGGTCGTGAAGACAGCCGACACCAAGCAGGTTCCTGGAGAACGAGGGGATGTGCATGCCTATAAGAGAGCCCGAGGGAACCGCTGGGCAGGGAAGGGTAGTAGAGCTACGGGCAATTATCGGATCTGAGGAGGGGTCAGCTAGCGCGACAGCGGCGAGGTTTGGCAAGCGGCGTGAGCACAGTGTGGTCGCTGAAGAAGCAGTCAGACACACCAGAGTGGAGCGTCAAAGAGAGCGAAGCGGTGGCGGCAGCCAGCGGAGGGGCTAGTGTGGGCCTAGGCTAAACAAGGCATGGCGGCACGGCGGCACGGCGACACAGCGGCACGGCGTCATGGCGGCCCTGCGGCACGGCGACACGGCGTCACGGTGCCACGGCAGCCCGGCGGCACCGGGGTCAGCGCGAGGGAGACCGGCGAGGAAGGGGCCGGCTAATAAGGGCCAGCGAGCAAGGGGCTGGGGAGCTTGGGGCCGGCTAACGAGGGGCCAGCGAGCTAGGGGGCCAGTCCGCGCGGGGCCAGCGAGCGTAGGCCAGGGAGCGCGGGGCCAGCAGGCGTGGGTCAGCGTGCACGGGGCCAGCGGGCTTGGACCAACGAGCGTGGGGTCGGCGAGCGTGGGCCAGCGAGCACGGGCCATGAGGACGGGCCAGCGAGCGTGGGGCGACGAGGGCGGGCCAGCGAACGTGGGGCGAGGAGGGCGGGCCAGCGAGCGCGGGGCTACGAGGGCGGGCCAGCGCGCGCGGGGCGACGAGGGCGGGCCTACGAGCGGGGGGTGACGAGTGGGGCCTGCAGGCTAGGACTAGGGCTAGGACTAGAGCTAAGACTAGGGCTAGGACTAGGGCTAAGGTGGAAGGGGGGGTGGGCGAGGAGGACCTAGCCTATCATGATACCATCTCAAGTGTTGTACTCTCTGTGGTATGCTTCTAGCTAGCCTATATACATATACAAATATATATGTTGACACGAACTTTTTTTTTTTTTTTTACACGTATGGGCTAAAATTTGGTAGCAAGTCGACACGTAAAGCAGCTAATGGAACATTAAATACAATATGAACATCAGTTTACTATGGATTATCAGCTGGGGGGTGAAGGTGTCATAAAGTCACCAGTCCTAACCACTGGGACAAGAAGGGATATCCTCAGGAGAGTTAGGCTCCATGTATCCACCTTCCTCAAGGAAAGCCTCCCTAGTACCCTCCCTAGAGAGAGAAGAGGTTCGACAAGGCTATCCCAGTGCCATGACAGAAGGTTCATGTATGCAGTTGAATAAGCCACAGGGAGGACACGCCATTTGCATGCATGCTTACTTCTAACTGCTTGCAAAATTACCCCCTGTGCCACTAGCCAAGCCATTTGGAAGAGGCATAGCTGGAGCGAAAGCAGGGAGATGACCAAGAGTGTAATGGCCAAAAACGTTACCAGATGCGATGCCAGATGCAGGGGCCTTGGGAAAAATGCCAGCTGTTGTGCATGGAGCAATGCCAAACACGGAACTACCCATACCAGCAGCTGCTGCGCCTGCTGCTGCAGCAGCTGCTGCAGGCGAATAGCCAGAAACGTTACCAGATGTGATGCCAAATGCTGGGGCCTTGGAGAAAATGCCAGCTGTTGTGCATGGAGCAATGCCAAACACGGAGTTACCCATACCAGCAGCTGCTGCGCCTGGTGCGCCTGCTGTTGCAGCAACAGCTGCAGGCACCACTTGATATCCCCTTCTTCTTGGAATACGAGTGTGGCGAACAGGAGTGGCACCGCTAGTGACAGGTTGGGGCATTTTGACGCAGTTTCTAGAAGGTGGAGCTCCAAAAGCAGGAAAAGTAGTTCTGAGGGTATAAGCGGGACCAGAAGAAACAGGAGCAGTGGTGCCGAGAAGAGGATGGGCTCCAGTGGAAACAGGAGCGGAAATGACGGCCGTAGGAGGAGGTGCAGCAGCAGCAACAGCAGCAGAAGTGCCAAAAACATAGGGAGCAGCAACAGCAACAGGAGCAGAAGTGCAAACAACAGGAGCGGTGGCGAAAACAGGGAGGGAAGAGGGGGTGGTAGGAGTGGGAGCAGGAGCAGAGTTGAGGTCAGAAGATGGAGAGGAGGCAGAAGCAAGGGCAGGAGAAGGCGGAGGAGGAGCAGGAGTCATTGGAGCCCGTTCTTCAACTGCGGAAGGAGCTGCAGCAGCTGAAGGGGTGGTGGTAGCAGCCGCCGCTGCTGCACCAGAAGCAGCAACATATAAAGTTACAGAGCCAGACGATGGAGTGGTAGCAGGTGCAGTACCAGACATGGCAGCAGCAGGCGCAGGCGCAGCCGCAGCTGCTTTTTCTGAAGCTGAGAGGGGAGGAAGCAAGTCGGCAGGGGTGCTGACGCCAACTGAGACGCGCCTGGCCCCCTGTGAGCCCTTCAGGTTCGAGTCCACAGAAGCCGCTGCGGCATCTACTACAAGTGAGTCCGAAGACGTTGCGACATGTTTAGCAGTAGCTGTAGCACCAGGCATGGCAGATGAAGGAGCAGCTGTAGCACCAGGCATGGCAGATGAAGGAGCAGCTGTAGCACCAGGCATGGCAGATGAAGGAGCAGCTGTAGCACCAGGCATGGCAGATGAAGGAGCAGCTGTAGCACAAGGCATGGCAGATGCAGGAGCAGCTGTAGCAGCATCAGTAACAGAAGCTGTCGTCGCGGCTACTACTAGCGAATCTGTAGACGTCGCAACATGCTTAGCAGTAGCTGTAGCCGCTTTTTCTGAAGACGAGAGGGGAGGATGCAGGCCGTCAGGGGTGCTGACGCCAACAGAAACGCCGCTGGCCCCAAGGGAGGGATTCAGACTCGATTTGACAAAAGCCACGTAAACTCGCAGCGGATTTTTCTTCTGGAAGATATACGCGTCGTAGAGATCCTCGTTAGTGGAGAGCGCGATTTCGTCACTGTCTGCGTCCACGTAAGTGAGAGATAGCGGCTTGTCGGCGGGGAACCCGAGGAGCGCGCGAATCCGCAGGTTGACGAGGTCAAACGACGGCGGATAGCAACCGAGAAACGCGGTGCGTTTGATAGTGTCATCGAAATAGACCTGACATATGGGGAGTTTGAGGGGAGGGGGGAAGGATGGGGGGAGAAGAAACCGTGAAGCCGATGATTAACAAATAGGAGAAACGGCGGAGAGAAGCAACCGTCGACCACGTTTTCACCACCGAGAAACGTGGTGCGACGGACTAGACCATCCAACGTGGTGCCATCAAACTAGACCTGAGATATGGGGAGGCGACGGGGAGCTCTTGGAAGGGATGAGAGGGGAAAGGGAGAGTCTATTTTGAGGCGCCTAAAAAATGAGAAATGGAGAGGCGAGGGGAAGCTCTTGGAAGGGAGGAGAGGGGGAAGGGAGAGAGGAAGTGGGAAGCGGGGTGAAACATTTGACGAGAATACAAGGAACCGCGAGGCCGATGCCATCGGTTGACTACTACTAGGTCAACCAGCGAAGAGGAGCAAGCGTCACAAAAATGTGGATCTCTCCTATATTGTAGGTATAGTTGTTCGTATAGCAAGTCTACTCCGTAGCAGACGTACCTATGCCGTACCTACTGTATACCTACTCCGTATTTCTGATCCTGGTATTTTGGGATGAGGAGACGAGAAGCGGCGTACGATAGAGTTGAGATTGCCAATTTCGTCACTGACCCTGTTGGGTCAGTGACCCAACAGGGAACACGGAAAACAGATTCTTTAGTAACTATTGTAGCTAGAACGGAACGACTCAGATCGAAATTATAATCAGAAGTCCGACTTCGTGAATATCGACGGAACCGAATACTTGACGCTACTGACAGTAGAGAGCACAGCAAACGATTCCGAATTGAAGACACCACTAGTGTAAATACGTATTATGAATCGGTCGGAAAAAAACAATAACAGAAAAGGACAGGAATGCGTTTCTTTCACCTTCATTGCGTAAATCGCACTACACATGGGGAAACAACTGCCGCAAGATCGACTAGCGCATGGGGGAAAGTCCGCCATGGATTGGCAGCTCGGAAACGCATCGACGGCCATGATTCGAGGTGGCGTCTGGCGGAAGCAACGACCGGCTATACGAGCTGTGGATTGCGTGACGTCTAGCGAAAGGGCCGAGAAGCTAGGGTGCGTATGCTGGAGAGGAGAGGCAGCTATGGCGAGCATGCGGCTGCGGGATTCAGGAGCCGCTTATGTTGGCCTTTCAAACCACGATCTCGGGATACTCTGGCTAGGACCGGTATTTGCGTCTTACGGCGGCGCTATCGTAATTACTTGTTCTACCAAACGAACAAAGTTTGGCTCCCGTGACTTATACGTGTGGTGCTTGTGCGTGTGGTCGCTTCGATACTCGTACCACCACTGCGAAGCGAAGTCTTCGTAGCAGTCGCTCTGTCTGGTTTGGACAGTTTGGATGAGGAAGACGGGTGCAGGAGATGGACCCGAAATGCACAGAAATTTGTAGCAACCCATCTTTACCAGATTGGATATACGTCAACCGACACGAACTCTGTCCAAATGCCTTGTGCTTGCGCAAGGAACGAATGGCATCCCTCCGCACAGGAGCTTCACACGAACCGAACCAGACCGCGCTCCGCGTTTCGCGCGACATTTTGAGAAAGGATTTTGTTTGAATTGACGTTGGGAAGTCGTAGACCCGTTCCAGTTAGTGCTTGCTGTAGATATAATACAGATGATCCAAATAGATACAAACTATGAACATCACGTTCACCTATAAGACACAAACACTGGAATACAAACTATTCACGGTCACCTATAAGACACAAACCCTGGAAATGAAATGTGTGAAAAACTGTGAAACCAGGAAAAGCAAAGCCATGGATACCGGCTAAAAATCCCATGTGGCAAATCATTAGGCGTTGTGTTGAAATGTTTGACAGCATATACAAAACAGACAAGCCCTTTTGCACACATACATTGTAAGGAATTACGATTCCTTACTGGGGCTCGCCACAGCGAGTACGCGCGTGTTGGAAATATCTCAAAGGACTTAAGCGTTTCTGAAGTGTAACACTACACTCGAGAAAGATCGTAACGGGTACGCGAATCAACGGAGGTTACACGAGGGGGGTGGACAAAGAACGCGAAGGGACTCGAAGGGTCGCAACTGGAGGTTGCGACTGACCGTTACAACCGCGCGGATGGTAACCGAAGCGACAATCGAGTCGCTGCACGACTCGATAACCGCTCCTGCAACTGTATTCTACAACTGCCTTACTTTCCTATTTTCTATATATTGCTGTATGCTTGTTTCTTTTAATCAATCACTTGTTCTCATATACTAGTACAGGGTTCAACTACTCAAACTTCCGCTGCACTACTCAAATCTCATTTCTTCAACTGGGACTTAGTCTCTGGAAAGATCCTAAGGGCTTTTCTCAGCCCAACATGGTATGAGGGCTGGTCAGAGACCAAACTCCGAGCAACTACGTTCTATCTGCAATCAACGCATCAACGACTTCATTGATTACAAGTCATGGACAGCAAGGGCAAGAAAACCTCTACGGGCTCACCCAGCGCCCAAGACACTCAACCCGACAACTCTGGATTGCACACTTCAGGACTGCAAACCGAGACCGGCGCTGCTCAAGAGACAACAGGAAGAGCACCGGAAATGGTGACCCCATCACCCTCTTCAAGCGTGGACCCAAACCTTATGGAAAGGTTCTTCAGCTTCATGTCGCACTTCGACCAGCAGCAGCAGACAAGGACACCTGCGCATTCAACACAGAGCAACGGAGGAAACATGGGATTAGCGCCGATGAGCCTCGACAACTCATCGTTCGGGCGACATAATCAAGCGCCTACCTTTGCGCCTTATCACTCTTCACCGGGGACATTCGAGTTCATGCCGCCCCGTGCCCAACCAACAGCACCTGCATCACAACAGACACCAAACGAGATTTTAAGTCTCCAGGCGCAGTTTTCACACGTGATTAAACTGCAGACATCCTCACCATTCAACGGACACGATTTCTTTACCTGGAGTTTTGAGTTCGAGCTGTTGATGGAGGTTGCGCACCTCTTGGGATACTTCAACGGGTCCCTACCATTCCCAAGCAACGGCAATGCAAAGGAGCAAGAAATATTTACTTATCAGTCGCTGCTGGCGTACACAGTTCTCCTGCGGAACCTGTCACCACAAGTACAGCAGAGCATCAGAACGTATCGGAGCTATGGAAACTCCGCGGAACTCGCATGGCATCATCTCAAGTGTCTCGATCAAGCAAACGACAGCGTGACACAAAGCAGACTCATGCAACAGCTGACAATAATACAGATGAAGACCGGGGAAAAGGCGATGCAGTATATGAGTCGCTGCCAGACCCTCCGCGACCGCCTGCTTCGGTGCGGAGGAACAATCACTGAAGAGAGCTTCGTGACGCTTGTCCTCGCCGGGCTCGGGCCAAAATGGAGAACCACACGCTCGCTTCTTCGCGCCCACGGAAGGATCTCGGAGATGCACCTCTGCGCCGAGCTTCATGCTGAACAACAGGAGATGGACCTGTTCGAAGAAAGACAACCAAGGAAGCAGCAGCAGTTAGTCTTCTACACTCAACGAAGGAACGACAACAACTACAATCGACGCGGCAAGCAAGATCAACGCGACAACAGAGGACTCACCATCGTGCCGCCGTTCTGCCACAATTGTCAAACATCCGGACATTCCAAAGTCAACTGCACACGTCCTCTTGTCTATCGTCCAGTAGACCCACAAGTCGCCTCCACTCAAGAAAGCCCTCCAAGACGTTCTTCCACATCTGCACAAGGGACACCGAACATCATCAACTGCATGGTACACATCGACAACTGCGCACCCGGATTACCACCCACTTACGCGCCAGACGAAGAAGAATTCCCGCCGCCGTGCTCACAAGGACTTCAGGTCAACCCGACATACGCTGCGGTCGCCAACGCCGAACCCACCAGGCGAAACACCTGATTCTTGGACAGCTACTGCGGTCAACACATGTGTTCTTCCGGACGCTTCGTGCAACGAGAGTGACGCCTCAACCGCGACGCCATCATCACCGTCGCCAACAATGAGAACCTGAAGACAAACAGACAAGGAGTGGTTCAGTTACAATCCATGGAGACAAACCTTATACTGCAACTAAACAAGGTCCTCATCGTCGACAACTTGGGATACAACTTACTAAGTGTAAGCTAGTTAATGGCCAAAGGGATTCACCTGGAGTGCGACTCGGACTCCAACGAATTTTGGCTATACCACGGGAAGGGCGGTCTCTTCATCGGTCGTGCTCTCCTGAAGTCCGGCGTCTTCGTGTTGGACTTCGTCCCCGACCGCGGTACTGCCGACAGCGATGGGATCGTGTCGTTCGCCGCCTGGACACACCCGCCGGATCTTGACCCCGACTTCAACCCCGATGGATTCTGGTACTCCAACACCATACCTGCAGCAGAGAGAACACGGGCGCTAGCAGTCATCAAACAAGAAAGACAAGTACCAGCAAGTGTCCCTTCCCAACCATCACCTGCAGCAGCAGCAGCTGGACCCAGCCAAGTACCATCACCAGCGATCCGTGGACCGCCAACCGAAGCAGATCAACTTATGCCCATCACACGAGAAGTCTGCCGAAGTCCCGCCACGGTCGTCGCGTTCTTCTCCAACGCCGACATATACCACCGCTCGCCCGGCCATCGCGCTCCCGACGACATCTGGCACCAACGTCTCGGACATCCTGCAAACAGTACAATACTACAAACCATCCAAGCTGAAGTGTTAGAACGTAACGCTCTTCTTACAACGAGCGGCCAAGAACTTCGACGACCACGCGCACGGTGCTTTACGTGCCCCGAAGCCGATCTTCCCCACCAGCCTTTTCCATCCCATCACAACCCAAGCGCACCTGCATACGCACCAATGGAAAAAGTTTACAGCGACATCTTAAACATGCCTCGAGACGACACGGAGGCCGACTTCAACTACATGTCATCACTTTCATCGATGCAGCAACAAGATATGTCTGGCACTATAACCTCAAGACGCGCAATCAAGCCTTCGAAGCCTTCATGACGTGGCTCCCCATCGCTGAACGAGAATCAGGAACTACACTCAAGAGTTTCCAGTCCGACGGCGCACTGGAATACCAGTCACAACGCTTCAGGACCTATCTGGCGGAAAGAGGAATCAGACGCCTGGTGTCCCTGCCCTACGCTCACCAGCAGCAGAGGGTCGCAGAAAGAATGAACCGGACCTTGCAGACGACGATGCGGAAGCTGCTCCTGGGGATGAGACTGCCCAATGCACTGTGGCCAGACGCGATGACCCATGCAGTCCACCTGCACAATTTGCTATCCTCGTCATCGCTCCCCAACAACGCATCACCGCACCTGCTGTGGACACGAAAAAGGGGCAGCACAAAATTACTTCGGGTTTTCGGCTGCATGGTACAGTACAGACCCCACACAACCAGAGCAGGACGTTTCACTCAACGAGCACGATGGGGACTACACCTCGGCATCGCAAAACATTTTCAAGCATGGAAAATCCTCAGCATACAAGACAAAAATACCGTGGCATCACGTGATGTGATCTTCTACGAACGACTGACGCTGCAACATTACCTGGACAACGTCGCCAACACAGAAGACCCCACCGACGGTGTTGCAGGCCTTCGCTCCTTCGCTGACCGTGCTGCCGAAGCTGACGCAGCAGAAGAAGACGTACCTGGAGCTTCGGAAGCTGCCGGACCACTCCTTACTGCTCCGTGCCAGTCCCACTCGACGACGACAATCCTCTCGATAGCAACAACCTCGACACCCTTTACCACTTCGCTGACCAAGGTTACGTTACACCTCACCCGGTCGACACGAATGTTTCAGAACGCATCGGCCCAAACTTCTTACCTGATCCAGAAGAGGGTGACGAATCAGCCTATTCCGGGAATGAAAATTCCCCTCGACACACACCCACGGGACTGCAAATCCTCGGCTTATGGGTCTCCGTCCAGCATCCACCGCCGCCATCTCCGCGCGAGCCCACGACTCTGTCACAGGCTCTGGGGGGGGAACATAAGGCGAAATGGAAGGAGGCGATGGAAAAGGAACTAAAAGCTCTGCAAGACCGAAATACATGGAAGCTGGTACCTGCAACAAACATCAACGAGAAGAACGTCCTCTCGGGAAAGTGGGTGTACCGCATCAAGACCAATGCGGACGGTTCCATCGAACGATTCAAGGCTCGATGGGTCGTACGAGGCTTCGATCAACGATACGGAACCGACTACACAGAAACATTCGCCCCAGTCTCCCGTCACACCTCCTTGCGCATCCTACTCGCCGTCGCGGCCACGAAGAAACT